GCAAGAACACTAGAGATGTTATCAAGAAAATCCCCTTTAACAGCAGTGTTGATGTGGTACAGGGAAGCAAGCCTCAAAGGCAGGGGTGTCAAACATCCTCAAAATATCCAAATAAAGACATTACTCCAGCGTAAAAAAAATAAAATAAAAGTAATAGAGTGTCTATGCTTCTCTTATTTTGTTAACACTGATATTAAACTATGGTTGGCAAGATCATTGTTTCTGTTTTACATCTCCGCCTCATTACTTGTGTTACTAGGAAACTGGAGTATTTCTATACAGGTTCATAGTACCAATAGGATCTCATACCAGTCAAACTGGTCATTAGTCCTGTTTGAAAATGCTACAATAAACTTATTGTTAACCGAATATAAAGAAGCCACAGTAGAGACAGCCATTCAGCTTTTGAATGCAAACCAAACATGCACACTAACACAGGTGTAACACTATATCCAGCTCTCCAGAAGCAGCTATGGACTTCGTCAGGCTACTGGGAAAGGGACAGTATGTTTGGGAAACAAAGAGTCTCCCTCTTTTTATGTTTCGTCTCCACAAATGCAAAGGTTATAGGCATCAAAAACAGTTTTACAGAATGTAAAGCCTTAACGCCAAAACATTTAAGATCTACAGAGCAGATGCTAACCTGCAGCCTGTAGATTGCTTGGATCTCTTGTCATCATTATCGCTCATAGAAGTGTCTTTAATGCTTATGTAACAGAGTTGTAAACCAATCCGACAAGCAGATTTGATTTTATTTGATTGGATTTGAAACATACCAGAACAGATGGTGTTGATATGGACTGATTTTTAGCTACAGAGAACTCAGAAATCATACTTTTTCTACTTTTTTTTTCTGCATGAAGGCCTTCATCATGACATTAGTCTGAGTTGAAGGGATGTTTTATTCCATAAGCAGTGACTGAGACTGAAGAACATGCAGTATTTATGATCCTGGAACAAATATAGTAAAGCATGTTTTTATAAAACATGTATCTTTATTTTACACTGCAAAAAATGGTCCACAAATAAGTATAAATGTCTTAAAATAAGTGTATTTTCCCCTGAATTTAAGTAGGTAAATAAAATGATCTGTCAATGAAATAAATATTTTTACCCTTAAAATAAGATAATTTCATATTATGCACTTAAAATAAGAGACAGCAGTATTTTCTTTTCTTATTTTAAATGTAAATTGTCTTATTCCATTGGTGTGTCTCGCTCATCTGCTCAATTTAAGAAAAAATGCACTTGTTTTAAGAAAAGTTTTTGCTGTGTAAGTGCATGATTTATTTTGCTAATTTAAACTCTGTAAACTTTTGAACCAACCACTTATTCATTTTAGCTCAGTTTCAATGTTTTGATTAAACTTACTGCATTTCTTTCATTTGCCTTTGCAATTTTGGGTTGCTTTCCAATTAAAGCCCATTTTGTAGTGGCCATGACCCAGATGACTGCGAATTTACACAGTCATGCTGCAAAAATGATCTAGAAATAAGTCATTTGTTAAATTAAGTATATTTACCCTTAATTTAAGTAGGTATATAAGAAGATTTTTTTTAATCCTTCATTGCGCTTGGAATCCAGAACCTCTGGAGCGCAAGGTTTCTTTTGGGTATTATTAGTTTCTATATTCTAACAGAAAAGCTATATTCAGAATTATATAGGATCAGGGTCATAAATGATTGAACAAAAGTCATTCGAACGTTTCTTGAAGGCTGTCCAAATTATTACACTTTAGATTTGAAGGCACACCACAGACTTAGTGACCTAAAGAGTTGATGCAAATGAGTTATTTTAAATGATTCCTCAGGCCTTGACTCTACCAATGCTAAGAGTGGGGCTCCTCTCTTGAAATACTGACTATGTAAGTTGGAAGAAGATGCACAGTCGCTGGCCAGATCATGTGACCTGGAAGAACGTATCGCTTTACAGACTCTTATATAGTAATAGAGCTAAGGCTTTTGTGCCTCTATTTTTCCAAAGATATAGACATATATCTTTGTTATTATTGTTTATGTTTAGTAGAAGCAAAATACAGGCAGTTACAGGTCCAGTGCCCCTAGTGGCCAAAAGTTACATGGTGTGCCTTTAAAAACAAGAATACCAATGTACTTTAGACAAAGTCAGACCTTTAATCAACTAACAATATTCTAAAACCTTGCTTTTCATCTCTTATTCATGTAGTTAGGAGTTCTTGATTTTTTTTTCTTCTGATTTTTTATTTCTAATATGTTTATAAATAATGACAAATTAAAGGATAAAAATTAGCATCCTGAAGGTACATCATTTTTTTCCTTCGTTTAAGAAGGTAAAGATGCTCTTTACCTTACTGATAAAATATAGAACTTATTTGCCGCCTATACTGTATTATTCTCAATAACTTTCACTTCACAGTTCAATTTGACAGAAAATATTATGGGGCCTTTATATTGTGAGATCTCATGCTGTCATGTCTTAATACGACTTTACTGACATGGTTCATATGCATCAGACTTGAGTGTGTTTATCGCCTAATTTCTCCTGAATACAAAAAGAGTTTAGTGAATATACACAGCTATATATTCGGAAGTAAACGCCTTCTTTTCTAAACTTCATTCCTTCGCTCTCTAATTCAAAATCCCTGGCATCCGCCAACACTCCTTAAGTGACAGCTCTCGCCTTCTTGCAACCCCCCACCACAAATCTTCAGCTTCTTAACGGGATGCTGCAAGTTTGGACAAATTACAGATGTCAAATGATTGCACCAACAAACAAGCAGTCTTCCAAATTCCTCACTGTTTGTCTTATTTTTGGACATATACACACCTGAGGCAGCAGTTTAGACAGCGGAGGCCTGGCTGGATGAATGCATCTCAATAATCTCACTACTTCTATGAAGAAAATGTGATTAAGGAATTCAGAGGCCTAATAGCTAGCTATAAATATCATTGTCCTCCTGCTCAGCTATCCTCAGGGGCTTCAACAAGCTCACCCACTCTAGGAAATGAAGTTGTGCGATTAAAGGCTTTCATTGGACAGTGGATGTTTCCCTCAGGAGAGGATGATGTTAAGTCTCACTGCTGAGGGACACCCAACTCCTGCACCTTACGTCATAGACGAGGCTATGACCGAGCAGTATCACTGTGGCAGGAGCCAAACTCTGCATGCAACACTTCTTTACTAGACATAATGCTGCTGGGATTTTACAGCCATATTTTATCGCTGTTTGCAAAGAACATTAAAATAGAAGAAATTGAAATCACTAACTGTAGCTGAATGGATGAAGACGTTCAAACAGGTGAACATACTAAGGGAACAAATTACTGCATCTTTACAAATGCAGACTGACCTTTTTCACCAGCGATAGCAAAAGGGTTAAAGATAATCTGTGTTCTTCAAGATGTAAAATGTTCTGGAAACTAGATGTGTCACTAATTGAATCTGTCATTTGTTTATTTGTGTTTATTTGTTCATTTTTTGCTAGCGTTTTGTTTTCTTTCTTGTTGTTTAAATTGTAAAAAAAAAAGAACAAAAAAATTGAGCAGCCGAATGAGTCCAAGGCTCAGTTCTTTAGCTTTTTGTTCATTAGTGATGAATCAATTACTAAAATAATCATCAACTATTTAGTAATCGATTTATGGTTAACTAGAGTATAGAGACTATAAAACATGCTTTTAGCTGTCAGAGCAACCAATCAAAGATAAAATGAAGATTTTGCATTGAACATAAAGAAGTTGGTGCCTGTTAAAACGCTCTATCCAGAACTCCTTAAGAGGAAAAATGTAAAATAATGGTTAATCGTTATAAATAACGAAATAATCATTAGTTACAGTCCTATTATTCATGCAATGGTTGCCAGGTTTGTGCTGACAACTGTGTGAACTAAGTGATATTTACAGTAAGTAGAGAATTGAAACAATGCGCCCCATTTTGACTAATGACTGATTAGGGTTTCATTTAGTTTCCCCTCTCATGCCCTGCCCACACATGTTGCAGTGTTAAAGTAACACTCAAGAGTACATTTGGTCCCACTCTGATGTAGTGTGGGACCAAATGTACTCTCAAAGTGTTACATTAACACTGCAACATTTATTTTCAAAAATAGTGCCAAGCCCAGGAACCCTCTCCTTCTTAAACCTGGCTCTGGTTGTGCAGTCATTTTAAGACTGATGTGAAAGCACATTGACAGTAGTATTTTTTTTTTTTTTACCATAATAAAGCCTCAGCAGGCTTAGAAACAAATCAGTCACATCCACTCTGCACAGCTCTGAATCCGCCAACGCACAAGGACACGCCTACACATCGCAGCATTTCAAATGAGCAACAGATTGGGTGGGATTTCAAGGAGAAAATATCACATTTTATTACAATTTAAAAGGGGCTTGATTATATGAGCTGATTTCTTTGCGCACACAACCAATGGCTTGGCTTCATTAACATGCGCGCCTAATCATATAGGGCTTGCAAAGGATCTGTCAGCTACTGGAACTGATCACTGCGGTCGCACAAGAAAACATCTTTGGATGCATCCTGCATCACTCATAGAGATCAGGCTCTGATCCAGCAGGAGGAGAACAATGCAACCGCGCGCGCGCAACAGCGGCGCAGCCTCTGTCCCCATCAGCTGCTCATTAGGTGCAAATAAGCTCATCACGGTGCAGCAGCGCAAAAGCAAACATGGATTTATGCACGCTCCGTAAGCACAGGCGGAATATCATCATCATCACCATCATCATCCCACCCTCAGCCTTGTTCTCCATCATCCTCCAAATCCTCCCCAGAAACGCGCGTCAAGAACACCTGCAAAAAACACTACGATGGCAATGTGATATATAACATAAGATATACCCATCCCTGCCGCTTAAATGCACTAAAATTATCTTTTAAAAAATGGGATTGCTATTGTGTCGCCGTGGCAAGTAGGTTAAACCGCTCAGGGCTGGCGCAGACGCAAAAAGAATAAAAAAAAGGAGGGGAGAAAAGGGGGGAAAGCAAAATGTCAGTGGGTGTTTTGAGCATACCTTTGCTCTCCTGTCCCTCGTCCTGAGTCTCCTCAGCATTGGACTCCATGACCGGCTTTGTCCCATCCATTATTTTACGCGGAATGTGGCCTTTACCCGCTGCTTGCGCTCCTACCTTAACAGCGTTGACAGTAGAGCTTGTCCTGGCGACTTGATGCTCCCTCTCTCTCTCTCTCTCATACTCTCCCCCCTCCCTCTGTCTCTCCTCTCTCCTCCCTGTCTCAGCTTAGCAGTCTCTCTCTCTCCCCCTCTCTCTATATGTATATTAACAATCAAGCTTCAAAACGGAAAAGGCGACGACAGACAGGATTTATTTTATCCATCCAGATTAGGTAGATAATTGCACATTGTTTCCAAATGCACCTTTTTGACTGTGCTTCATTTCCACTTAGAATAATAAAAACTCCTTCTAGGAGCTGCACCCATGCACACCTATTGTTTCTGAATGTCTGCTTGGAGTGATTCAACATTTAAGGGCAGAATTTTAAGGATATTTAAATATGCAAACTCATGGGTAACCAGGCATGAACACCCTGCACACACATGCATGCACACCAGAGTGCTCACCGCCCCCTCTCCATCTGGTGATCTGAGTGAGAAACAGAGAGTACAGGAAAGGATGCAATGTGCAGGAAAAGAAAAGTGTAAAAACTGGTTTGGGCTGCAAATGTAATTATGAAGGAGGGACACTTTTTCTAGTGGGCATAATGAAACTCATAATGAAATCTAGAGCTGCAAAACCAAAGGATGATGTGGGACCTTTTTAATTCTCTCAAAGTTGCTTTTCTTTCATTGTGCAAACAGCTTCACTTAAGTTTACTTCAGCTTTGATTGGATTACCCTCGAACCAATGGGAACTCCTTCGCTGCCAAACAGCCATGTGCCTTGCTTCACTTGAGAGAGTGTTCCTTTGTTTGGCTCCAAGGTTCGCTTGCTGATTGGTCCAAACCACAATCCAATAAAAACTCAAGCAAGGTAAATCAATGTGGCCTTGAAGTGGTCAAAAGTGGGTGTGGTGTGTTTACTCAGTGAAATAAAGGATTAAAAGAAAAGGGAGGGGGCTTACTTTCCATCACTCACCCCCCCTTTTTATGTGTAACACAGACACATCCTCAAACAATGGCACACCATCTGTACTGAATCCTCTTAAATGAGGTTTTAATACGGGCCCACGTGGTCCTGTTTCAGACAAAGCTCAGCCCACCGATGAGTCCAGGAAACCCCCCCTCCTGCACACAGCACACACTCCCAACAGATCAGACGGTGCAGACAGAGGGGGGGCTGCCAGAGAACCCCTCCCCAGATGTTTTCCGCCACTTAAAACAGCCGACACATGAATACTTAACGTGACATCTATGACATTTAGTGGCTGCATTTGCCCTAAGGGCAGATATTAACACCCACTCTGCACCATATGTCTGGGAATTGGGGAGGGTCTCTCCCTCTCTGCTAAAGCTAAAAGGGAATACAATCCACTGAATAAATGACCAAATCTCTTCCCCTATTAGGTATTGTTCTTACTTTTTATTCAGAAAACACAACAAACGAAAAATATGAATAGATGAGTGATGAGTTCATGACGCTGTAGACTTGCACAAGTATGCAAGGCTTTTGCTTATTATCAAAGGTGGGCAGAGTACCCAAAAATTATACTTAAGTGTAGCACTACTTCATCATATTGTTCCTCAAGTAAAAGTAAAAAGTAGCCTTTATAGAAATAAACAGTAATTAGGAAAAAGGTTACTTAAAGGTATAGTGTATGATTTTCTAGAATTATTGAAAGACCCGCCATCTCCACTTAAAAAAACAAAATGCACATGCACAACCCTGTACCTGCTCCCGAGAGTGAACGCTTATTAAACGCGTGCGAGAGCCCATTTCTCCTCATGCACCCTCTGTTTAAAAGTTGCTGTTAGCATTACTCATTCAAGCTTACTTTCCACAAGAGGATTTGCAATTTTTCCACTAACTCATCACCGGAAAGTGAAAATGGGGGCAAACACGTAGGACGTAAACATATCAGCAGAATGTCTGACAATTCATCAAAATAAGGACCACTTATTTTGATGATCCACCCAGAAAACTAACATTCTCCACTATACCTCTAACTCCAGATCTACTTAATGCGCATGGAGAAAGTGCGTCTCTTATTGGTGCATATGTGTTTTAAAAAAAAGCATAGTAGCAAGAAAATTTACTCAAGTAAAAGTAACGATATTTTAACATATTTATAATCAAGTAAAAGCAAAAAGTACAGTGCTGTAAAACTACTCCTACTGTAAAAGTATTTTTTTCCCCAAAAGTTACTTAAGTAAATCTAACAAGTTACAACCAATGTCTGTATATTATTTAACATCCTACAATGCTGTCCTTTATAAGTCAAGATAAGAAGCATATAAACATACATTATCTTGGCCTAAGGTAAAGATGTAAGCAAGGATTCAATTAAAAAAACTAATATGTTCTTACTCTTCTTTGATTCCCTTTAATTTCTTTAATGTCAAATGTATTTCTTCTTTAGATGCACAGTAAATTACGAATCTTATTTAATTTATAAAGCTCTAATTTCATTTAATTTCATTTCTATTACTAAACATTCCCTATTTTGGACATAAAGTAAAACCCTAAAGATCATAACTCTGCCACCACTGTGCTTGACAGCTTGTGCAGCTTTCTTTGGCCTAAAAGCCTCACCTTAATTTCTGCAAAGAATCCTTTAACTCTATAAGCCCTGTCAGGCACACTCAAACAGAGGACAGTATAAACAATGCTTAAACTGAACCAGGACATTGATTTATCTATTTGTATTTCAAGCTGATTAAATATATGGCAGTGTGCAAGCTGCATACCATTCCATACAACCTGCATATATAAGCAACCGCAGTGGAAACAGTGTGGGTCATAAATGTGAACTGGAAATATAGATTAAAAGGAAAACATATAAAAAACAAAAAGATCAGGTACAATAAAAAAAAATACAAAGAAAATAAATAATACAAACAAATCAAATAAAATACATAAATATAAAACATCTTTTTTTTTTTTTTGCTGAGGCTTAAAGTCAAAGACTAAAAATGGTTTTAAGATAATAATTCTTTCTATGGTTGAATAAATCATCACCTTAAGGTAAACTATAGTTAGTGAGAGCAATATGATTAAGATGATGGACATAAAAAGCACAAAGATAAATTAATTAAATGTTCATAATTCCAACAGCCGGTTTTAACACTTTTAACCTTATTAATCCTGATATTTTCTAATACATTGCAATTTGAAATGAATCTGATAAAAGTAAAGAACTGTTACATTATTTAGTTTTTATATTACTAAAAGATTTGGGAAATGCCTTTAAAGACCCTTCTAGTCCCCTTTTATTGCAGAACCCCCATAATCCCTCACTGGGTCACACAGATTAAGGACTTGTCCAGAAGATGAGATACAGAGCTCCCTGGCACTCGCCAACACCACATTCTCACACAAACACACACTAACACAGACACTGAGCAGTCCTTGGATTTTAGCCCAAACCATCTAACTATGCTGCCATGCTGGACAAAAAGAAAAAAAAAAATGAAAGAAAACCATGTTTTTGTTACGCCCAAGAATATTCAATCTTTTCTGGTTCCTTTCCTAGTAATTTTATTCATGTGGTTTTAGATTGATTTAACTTGTCAGCAGACAGTTTTTACCATTTTTATCTGTTTTTACAGTAAATGGTCCTATGGCACAGCTGCATAGTAACTCTCTTTAACTTTAAATTATCCAGCTCCATATGATATGATAACATATGTCACTTTAAGAATGGGAAAGACAAGAAAAATGGTAAAAAGGAAAATAAGTGTGGTAAATGAGGACATATCTAGTGTTTAATCTGGATTGAATAGCAGGAACTGTGGCAAATGACAAGATTGAGGACCCAGGTTTATGTAACCCACATATGCAGTTTGAGATGTCATAATACAACTTTTTTATTTCAGATATAATACTAATATCGCACATTTGAGAACTGACCAACACCGATAATGACCTGATATGATATCAGCAGGATTCCTACATACTTTTAATATCTTTTTTGTGATGTGGAAGGACACTAGTCAACAACAACAGTTAAGAGAAATACTGTCCCATTTAATATTAACCAACTGGTCATATTACCTTTCAATAGGCATGCTAATATCAGAGATTTTGGGTGCAGGCAGATATGATCTAATATTGGACCAATATTTGATAACGATATCAGATTAGGACATTTCTATATACAATAAAAAGGATGATGGCAGGTTAGAATCTCATCAAGTCTCCATGACAACAATCATTGTGAAAAAGAGAAACCTTTTCTATTCTGTCATCACAAATGTTTAGTTTTTTGAACAATTTTAGGTTTGTATATCTGGAATTACAGGCTTTAGTCAGATTAGACTTAGATTTAACTTTTATTGTCTTTTTTCTGGTCTTCAACTATGGATGAATCCTTTAAAAGCACCTCAGATTCACTTTTAAGAACAGTAAAGGACCTGTAATGATGCGGGCTTTACTCCACCAGAGGTCTTGCATGTCATTTCCTTTAGAATAAATACAATGATACATTGAGAAACCAGATACACATTTGGGATTTTTGTTTAGAAAATGGCCTAAAATCAACAAAAAAACAGAAATTTTCAATCTTTCAAGGAAAAGAATAGAGAATCTCCCTTTCCGTAAGCGCTGACTGGGTGTGATGTTATAGAAGAAGACACATTTGTAAACAAGGCCAAGACATAAAATCAATGCCCAGATGTTTTACTAAAACCACACAGCCCAAACATCACCAAAAGTGTGCTTCCTCTGCCCCCTGGGTACAATACATATTTGCCCTAAATTACACGGCAATCTATCTGCACTTAGATAATCTAGATCAAAGATGCTAACAAAATGAGCTGCGTCCCTTGAGCCATGCGCTGTTTTCTACTGAATGTATTGGTGTAGTAGGTTTCCTGGGAACTACTGTACAGTGATTTTTAAAGCTGTAAAGCTCCTCATATCAGAGAGATCAACCCAATCTCTGAAGTTATAATGAACCCTGTTCAACTCTAGAACAGCATGGAGAGTTTTATTCAGCGATCGGCAGATTGGGACAAAACAAAACCACTGAGGCCTAAAGAGTCTTCCTGGCCTGTTTGGACCGTACACAGCAGGCCTGTTT